TTTATAACACTTGTCAAATGTAAGAGTTAAATTTTTTCTACTCTTGCACATTTGAAATTGGTAAGTTGTGATGTTTTGGATAAAACAAAGACCAATTGACACCAATTGTGTGAAGTGTTTATCTTGATAAGGATCCGCACTGACTCTTGAATATTTGTTTGGTTGTCAAGGAATGGTTCTTGACAAATAGAAACTTATATGTCAAGAGGACAGTGGGAGTATTAAAGGTCTTGAAAGTTTCAAGAGCTAATCAAGGATAAAACCTATAGTTTATCACTAGCACACGGCTTGAGGTTTGTAACCTATCGTGTTGACATAATTCTTGTTTCTGTGCCTATTCCGGTAAAGTTGACTATGTGTGTGAGTTCTGTGAGTTCTCAATTGTATGCATAACAACTTGGAAGAAATGGTGGGCCCTTGGGCGACCAAGAGGCAAGAAATCAAGATTGAACAAGTTCAATCCATATGATTTTGAGTTTGTCACTAACCTTGTCTTGTGATTAAGGTTTTGAGAAATTCACATGGATAGAAACACATACATCATAAAATCTAAGTGTCATAAGGTTTCTTTCCAATTCATGAAAATGATGGTGAGGAAACGCTTTCACTAAGTAGATTTTAAGTAGATAGCAATTGTGTTGTTTGCATTCTCAAAGTCGTTAGTGGAGCGTGTGTGGTTAACCGGCACATTAACATGGACTTGTGAGAAATGGCAAACAGGTCTAAACATTATGATTACGACATCCCTCTTCATAATTGTTTAGACACACATGTGGGCTATCTAAAGAAAGATGTACGAGTCTGAGAAGCTTAGATAAAGTTTTGTCGAAGCATCTCGTATCAGAAGTCTGAACTTTGGTGATGAAAGTCAATAAAGTATTGAGCATTCTAACACTTCCTAAGTGTACATGCAACCCTAATAAACCTTGGATCTATGTTTGTCTAAAATACATGCAAAATTTGTTTTCCAAGGTTTATAACTTATCTAGCATGGCATGGGGAACTTTTAAACATAAAAGAACTAGATGAATTACATACCTTTGTTTGTGAATTGATTCCTTAGGAGTTTGAGAGCCAAGCACCAATAATGTGAATGCCTCAAATGGAAATCACAAATCACCACAAACTTGGAAAACTTATGAGAGAGTATATCTATGCTCTAGAAATCGGCCACCTTTCTTCACACACACTAGGTGAAGGTGGTAGCCTGTTGAACTGTTGGCTAACTAGGGCAATAGCATTTTGGAATTCTTTTTCATCGTCATATTCTGAATCAGCTTCGTATGACTGCGGTGGATTGTTATACGAGGGAGAGTAAGGTTGGATGTTTTTGTTGTGAGGGTTTTGAGCTATGAGAGCGAGTAGTCCTCCGAAGTCTGCACAATCTTTTAGCACAGTTGATTCTTGTGCCTGAAGTTCGCCATATAGCTTGAAAAGAGAGAGTGTGTGAATCTTCCTATCTCCTTGGACTATCATTTTCGCCGTAGTCCAGTGTTTACCCAAACCATTGAGAAACTGAAGATTTCTTTCATGATTACTTCAGGCGGTGCCAACATTTGACAACTTTGTGACAATCAGGTTGAATCTTTTGAAGGAATCTTCAAGACTTTCACCAGCATGAGCTTTGAAGTTGTTGAACTCGTTGAGTGCGGTGGTGAGCTTCTTATCTTGAGCTTGCTCAGAACCTTCATACAAGTTCTTGAGAATATCCTAGATTTCTTTGGCTGATTTGCAATTGATGATAATGTCGAAGTTGTCAGGAGCAACTCCGTAGGATATTTCATAAAAGGCAACAACATCACTTTCCATCTTATCAAGATCATCTTTAGTGGGACGATTCATTGCAACTTGAGCTCCTCCTAGTCCGCCTTGAGCACCATCGGCTTGAACATGAGTGAGAACCGGAACATGAGGTCCTTCTTCCACGAATCTCCACACATCTCTACCGAGTCTTTTTAGATACCTCTACATCCTTTGAGACCAATGATGATATTCAGTAGCAACAAGTATTGGGGCTCGATTAGAACCACCGACACTATTGGAAACGTTTAGTGATAATGCTTGTGCCATATTTCCTTTGTTTTTTTTTTGTTTTGAAATTTTTGAGAAAATGAGCTTTAGTGGTATAGAAGGCTTTTCAAAATCAGAGTTTTGCTTAAAAAGCAACCACTTTGACTCTGATACCAATTGTTGAGAGAAAAACTGTTGAGAAACACTTGAACAAACGTTAGTAGAAGTTATATATATTGCGGAATGAAGTTAAACTCAAAGGATCATAAAGCTCAACAATAATAAGAAGTTAGGACTGTTAGAGATGTTAGTTGCGGAAATGTAAGTGTGAAAAGTAAAGGAAATGTAAATGACAACAAGTTATATATCAAGTAAACACTAAGCTGATTCTTAACAAGTTTTGCATTCAAACCGAGTTAGTCTACATAATCAACTTAAAGTGAATGAAGTCACAAGGACTTGCTCCGAAGGAGAGTTTGAGAGTTCGATCTTAATATATGAGTGTAAGTTCAGAAATATCTTTGAAGGTAAGAGAGAATATAGAGAGAGAGTAATTCAGATTGAGAGAATAGAGATGTAAATAGAGAGGTGTATTTCATTCAAAAGATGAGAACTCTATTTATAGAGTCTCGAGAAATTACATGGAGAATAAACAAAGACTAAATTTCTGATTAAGTGTCCATGCAAGGTACACTGGGTAATACAATGTAAACATAAAAGTTAAGAAACAGAAAAACTAAGTCTTTGTTGCGGATGATAACACTGCGGATGACTTGATGTTGCGGTAGAAAAAGATAACTTCGGATGACTTCGGATAACAAGTTTAAGAGGGTCACTTTCTTGATTTAACACATAACCTTAAATAGGAATCGAAATCACACATTAACAAAATCCCGACATAGGAGTTCACGAGGAGGTTTCGAGGCATTTTGAGATGGCCAATATTTTTTCCTGAAGCATGGTCTTGTTTCTAGGTATCTAAGCGACCTAGAAAGAGCCTTAACAAGGGCTAAATCCTATTGAACTCGACATAATAAATTAAAATGGAAATCCTGCTAAAATGGAGAGCATATAGAGGTTTTCATTTGTTTTTGGTGCTTTTCTTTAGATCCAACCGTATATACTTGTTCCTAAGTGTCAAGGGAACATAAATATATCTTTAGGAGTGATTAAAAGTGTTTAGAGCTTAGCTAAACTCGACAACCAAAGCTTAAAATGAGAAAATTTCAAAAATAAAGGGCTTCAAGGCTATTGAGGCCAACCAGAGGCTGCTTCGGCCACCACAACACCGAAAAGAAGTTGGGATGGACTCTAGGGACCAAGTGTAATCGAGACATACATTGGAGATGTCCTGCAAGTTGAAGAAATGAACTGAAACTCCTACTCTGAAACCTAGATCTATACCTCCTCTTTCTCTCTCAATTCCGTTGGTTCTAGGCCCAAGGGAGGAGACAAGGACCTTATATGAACAAACGGGGTATATTTAGGGGGTGAATCGACTTACTTTCAAAGCATGGAGGATTTTCCGGTCCCAAAACAATAATCCGAAACTCCCGTTGTTGCTTTGCTTTCTAACACCTCGTTCCCGAGTCTCATTTAAGGGGGGAAGGGGAGGTAATTGGAAGGAATCGAAGGGAAATGATGATAAGATCTTATTCCCTTTTTTTGGGATGATTCGGAAAGAAAAAAAGAGGCGATAAGGGAAGATCTTCCCTCCTAATCTTCCTCCAAAATTGGAGACATTTGGAGAGAAGTCGATCATATCCTATCTTATTTTTTTTTTTGAAGTTTACACAATTACCCTCATATCACTATATAAACGAACAATGTATACCAGAAAGAACATCACACACAAGAAATTCTGCATAATCCTTAAGCCATTCAAGTCTTCAATCTTCGTCCCTACCATAGTGACAACCTCATAGGTAAATAATTTTTTTTTTATATTCTTATTAGATTCAATTTACTGCTATTATACACACACATGATTTTCAATTATTGGGTGTGACACATTAGAGGCTTCCAAATTATTGGGGCTAGCATTCCAAAGAAGGGTTCTTCTAAGTTGGTTGTTATTTTCGACAATAGCAAAATCTATGTGAACTAAACTTTGCGATTTTCGATTTTAGCTATGGTTATTTAGTTTTTCAAAGTATGTTGCTATTATGAGAAAAACCATAAATTTCCAGGTTTCATGTGCCCGTAATTGTTTATGTGAAATTCCGCTGTGCAAATCATGTTTGATTAATTTTATTTTGTAACCTAGAAAACCTATCGGTTCTGTCATGCCATAATGAAATGAATTTTAATTAGTCCGTTGCTTTATGTTCCAAACTAAAAATAACTAAGTTTCGGACTACATTTTGGACTATAATGACTGTGTTCCAGGCTGCATCCCAGAACACTATTCTGAAGTTGTTCCGGACATATTCAAAACTAAATCTTTTTAAATATTTTTAATTGTTTCTGTGCACAAATACACCCACATATAATCACACAAAAGCCTAACAATAACTAAAATTCGTAGGAAAATGATTTATAGCTATGTAATCACATCAATTCATATAAAAACGAAAACATATATTTACAAATAAAACATATAATCATAAAAAGAATCAACACATACCTAAAAATATGAATCTCTTCACTACTAGAAAAAGACATTCAATGAATTTGACGTAGTCCGGAACAGTAAGTTTCAAATGAAGTCCGAAACATTGATTTCGAACACATGGTCTGATATGTTATATATATGAGGACCACATTAACGAGTTGAATCATTTTATCCGTTTATCCATTTCAAAATTCAAATCCAGAATACATTCCGGACGAAACGGTCATATACAAAAAAAAAAAAAAAAAAAAAAAATTCTAAGTGATTCACAAAAAATGGTGAGATTACTTAATTTCCTTTTTATTTTGATGCGTGATTAGCCGTTTCTATTCGTTATAACATTTATTGACGGCGAAGACTATCGACTACACGTCAGTATATATCTGCAATTCTACATCTCCCTCCCAACGTGACACCTTTAGTTCGTTTATAATGAACTGAATCTTATTTTTCCCTCATTTCTTCTGATTCCTGTTCTCGATGGCTCCCAAATCTTTCGACTTCCCTTCTGCAGATTCCGACTACCAGTCCGGCTTCGGAAACCACTTCTCATCGGAGGCGATAGCCGGAGCTCTCCCTCAGGGTCAAAACAGTCCACTGGTTTGCCCCCTTGGTCTCTACGCCGAACAGATCTCCGGCACCTCTTTCACCGCTCCTCGCAAGCTCAATCAACGAAGGTCCAGTACTTACTCACTTTATACGCATCATTTTATATTTTTGTTTAAACAACTTTTCTAGTATTGGAAGAGTTCCTTTAAATCACGCTTCTGCTTTTTCTACTGTTTTCCTGGTTTTTGAAGTTAATATTCACAATTATCCATACCGATTTTAGTTAATTGTTGAACATGAAGTTGCTATTCGATCTTTTGCGATTCTAGGTATTGCTTATGCAAATTCGAGTGAGCAACTCTTTGTTCTGTGACTTAGTTTTTTGGTCAGGAAGTATATCTGAAGAGTCGTGTAAGATGTAAAATGTTAACATAACTTGATTCACTAGTCTGATAATCGTAGTTCATTGATTCATTATGCTTGATCAATCTAATCGAACGTTATTCGTTTAAATTTAGTTTCGATTTAAGTTCTGTAAGAGTATTCCTTCTACAAATTCAACCAACTTCCAATTTGCATCAGATTCATATACATACTAATTACTGAATACTAATCGCAAAATACATGATTATAGAATATTAGAGCCTACTTGTTACATCTCACAGTATTTTGATTCGTATGAAAGTTTTGTATCATAAGATTTTGATCAATGATTTGAGCAACTTCCAATTTTTTCACATTTTCATTCTATTTCTGTTTCAACAGTTGGCTATATCGGATCAAACCTTCAGTCACACACGAACCATTTAAACCAAGAGTCCCCAAACATGAGAAGCTAGTAAGTGAATTCAGCCAGGTCAACAGTGCAATCAACCCCACACAAATTCGATGGAAACCTGTTGATATTCCTGATGAACCAACAGACTTTGTTGATGGGCTCTATTCTGTATGTGGAGCTGGCAGTTCATTCCTTAGACACGGTTTCGCCATTCACATGTAACATATGCTTCAAATGTTGTACCTTATAGAATCTGCATTCGTTTACTGCATTAAGTGTTGTCTTCATGATCATGTAGGTACACTGCAAACATATCAATGGAAAACTCTGCTTTCTGCAATGCAGATGGCGACTTCTTGATAGTTCCTCAAACTGGAAGTAAGTGTCCACATTTTCAATGCATCTTTTACCCTTCATGATTATGGAACTTGTGATTATAAATTTATAATAAAACATTTTTATTTTTAGGGTTGTGGGTCACTACAGAATGTGGAAAACTACAAGTTTCACCTGGTGAAATTGTAATCCTCCCTCAAGGATTCCGGTTTGCTATTGATTTACCAGATGGCCCTTCACGTGGTTATGTTGCTGAAGTTTTTGGTACTCATTTCCAACTCCCTGATCTTGGGCCAATAGGTAATTAACCTACTACTATGAACTATCCCTTGTATCTCTATAAGGGTATTTTTGTCTTTTTTAACTTGGTGTTGCTTTTAGGTGCAAATGGCCTTGCTTCCCCAAAGGATTTCCTTGTGCCCACAGCTTCATTTGAACAGGAATCTCGTCCAGGTTATACAATTATACAGAAATTTGGTGGTGAACTTTTTACTGCTAGACAAGATTTTTCACCATTCAATGTTGTTGCTTGGCATGGCAATTATGTCCCCTATAAGGTACACTTTTTTTTCATTATAGTTTCTTATATATGTTTGATTTACAATCACGAGTAAATTACATTTTTGGTCCCCGAGTATAGCTTCTTTTCTCAATTTTGGTCCCAATG